AAGGTCGACAGAAATAAAGGCTAACAGTCTACATTTAACTCACCCAAAGTTACTTTAGAAAAATGACCCAAATCTCAAATCTATATATAAATATGAACATTCTCTTGCATATATTAAATGCTAAGATGCTTCAAAATGCCCAAAGCTTGGTTTGTCCACGCCCTGTCTTAGTCCAATCAGGCTGCTGTAACAAAAATACCGTGGACTGGAACAACATTTATTTCTCACAGTTCTGGAGAGCGAGAGGTTCGAGATCGAGGGGACAGCAGATTCAGTGTCTGGTACGAACCCTGTTCCTGGATTGTAGATGTGTCCTCGCATGGCCAAAGGAACTTCTGGGATCTCTTTTTTGAGGACATTAATCCCACTCGTGAGGATTCCACCATCATGACTAAATCCTTCCCGAAGTTCTCATCTCCTAATGACATGATACTGGGGGTTAGGATGACAACATATGAATTTGGGAAGGACACATTCCGTCTATAGCAATCACCCTGAAAAGAAATCATGATTCTTTGGACAGAGCACTGATTTTTCAGGTCTGAGGCAGGAAATGAACATGAAAATCCTGGGACATATTGTTATGCCAAAAAATACAGAACCATGTAAGGATTGACTACTATGGTCATAAGAGTCTTCACCTGTCACAGTGAACAAATTACAGGGGCTCCCACTGGCCAAACTGGGGGCTATTTAAGCATCAGGAGAATAGTAACTGTCATTGATATTACATTGGATGACTAAAGTTTGTGAGTGATTTTTTTTTAAAGGGAAGGGGCACTGTTTTATAGAATGCCAATAGAAGGTGTGTTAAAGAATTAGAGAATCATTATTTTGCAGACGATGGTAGAATTCATGCAAGGATCATCTGGTATATTAATTCCTGTTGCCAATGTAACAAATTACTACAATCTTAGTGGCTTACAACACAGATTTACTATTTTACAGTTCTGGAGGTCAGAAGCCTGGCTGCTTTCCTCCTGCAGGCTCTAGGGAAAAATGTGTTTCTTGTCTTTTCTACTTTCTAGATGCTGTCTGCATTCCTTGGCTTTCATGGCCTCACGTCACTCCCACCTCCGCTTCCATTACTGCATCTCCTTCTGACCCTGACCTATCTGCTTCCCTTTTATAAGGACCCTTGCAATAACATCGAGCTCACCCAGATAATCCAGGATATTCTCCCCATCACAAGATCCTTAATCATATCTGCAAATTCCCATTTTGCCATGTAAGGTAACATATTCTAGGTTCCAGGCATTAGGATATAAACATTTCTGGAGACTATTATAAGCCTATTGCTAGGTATGGTGTATGTATGTGTATGTGTAATGTGTATGTGTGTGTGTGTGTGTGTGTGTATACACACATATATATGTATGTATATACATACATATATATGTATATATTTGTTCTATAATATCAAGTACACAAATCACTTGTCAGATATTCTTGCCAAAAATGTTTAACTTGAATCTAATCAAGCCTCTAGACCTAACTTTCAGCCAGCTTAGAGAAATGACACCATAATAAAATAATCAAACACATTCAACATATGGGACATACTATATATTTACTAGGCTATATGTTATACCATCTTAGACTCCTCAAAATTACAAGGTCATAAAAATAAAAGGATATTCTAAAAATTTTTAAAAGAACTTAAGAAACATAAGAACTAAATGCAATGTGTGAACCTTGATTGGATCTTGGTTAAAAGATAATTGGTGGAATTTTAAACTTGGGCTAAATGTTAGATGATATTATGGAATTGTTGCTAATATTCATATTTACATAGGATAATGTCCTTATTTTTGGAAATGCATGTTGAAATATTTAGGAGTGAAATATACAATGTCTGGAACTTACTTTCAAATATTTTAAATAAAAACTGTGTGTGTAGAAGGGGAGGTGGGTAGAGGGCACCTGGGTGGCTCAGTCGTTACTCCTCTGCCTTCCACTCATGTCGTGATCCCAGGGTCCTGGGATTGAGCCCCACACTGGGCTCCCTGCTTGGCGGGAAGCCTGCTTCTCCCTCTCCCACTCCCCCCTGCTTGTGTTCCTTCTCGCTGTGTCTGTCAAAAAAATAAATAAAATCTTAAAAAAAAAAAAAAAGGGAGGTGGAGAGATGAAACAATATAGCAAAACGTTCATGATTTTGATTCTAAGGGGAGAGTATGTAGTCTATATTGTAGTTGCGACAATTAATTTTATGAGTCAATTAGACTAGGTCATGATACTCAAATATTTGACCAAACATTATTCTAGCTGTTTCTATGAAGGTATTTTTAGATGAGATTAACATCTAAATCAGCAGAGTTGAGTAAAGCAGATTATCCTCCATACTTGGGGTGGGCCTCATTTAGTCAGTTGAAGGCCTTAAAAGACCACACCTCTCCCCTGTAAGAATGAATGTTGTCAGACCACCTTCTGACTTAAACTGCAGCACTGACTCTTCTCTGAGTCTCCTGCCTGCCCACCTATCATACAGATTTTTAACTTGCCTGCCTCCACATCACATGAACCAATTCCCTAATATCTCTCCCTTATCTCTCCCTCTCTAGCAGATAAATAAGAAGATATATATTTATTATATATAATATAGATCACATATATATTAGCACATACATAATATATATTTTATATATTAAATCCCATATATATATATATATATATATATATATATGCTCATTCCTGGGCTATCTATAGTTAGCTTGCTTAATTGCTAGCCTCTCAAAAAGCAAAAAAATGATTAAAAGTAGCAGGATGGGGAACAGCAGGAGGAGATTTAAACAGTCCAATTGTACATAAGAAAATGGCTTTGAAAGGGGAACATATATATATGAAATGCATGACTTAGGGACATGTAGTCTTTCCTTTACGTGCAATTGAAGGCAGATTCAAAATTGTAAAGGAAGTGATGATATATTAGCAACAGACTTTAAGAATAAACTTCAGGAAACTTTTAAACAGAGGAGACAAAATACACCAAACACCTGAAAGGGGCTTTGTTCTCTGTCAACCGGCTCACACCTGAAATAGGGGACTTAATCAGAGAAAGTACAAAGAAATGGAAAATTGCCAATTTGGAGAGTTCCAACATGTAGCTGCACATTTTCAAAGAGCTTTAAAAAGTAAACTAGCTAGAAGTCAAACCAAATTTATGTCCCTTTAGGTAAAATAACTTGCCTCCAACTTGGTGTCTCGGCTATTGTAAATAATGCTACAACGAACATGTTTAAACTTTTCTAGACTTTCACAGAAATGTAATTGTACAGTTAAGTACTCTTTTGTATCTGGCTTCCTTCACTCATTTGTCTATCCGTTCATCTACTGAACCGTGTGGAGGTCTTTTTAGTTTGGGGTCATTAAGAACAAAGTTATGATCAGTCACATACAACACCTTGTATAGATGTCGGTTTTCACTTCTCTCGGATAAATACCTAGAAACAGAATTGCTGGATCCTAAGAGCACGTGCTTAACTTTATAAGAAACTGCCAAAATATCTCCCAAGTTGTTGGTATCATTTTCCATTATTACTAACAATACTTGAGAATTCCAGTTGCTTCAGATCTTTGCCAATATTTGGTACTGGCAGTTTTTGTTATCGAAGCCGTTTTGGTGGTCTGTAGTGGGTTTTGTCTGCATGTAGTTTCATTTTTCCATTGACTAAGGATATAGAGCATCCTTCTATGTGTTTATTGGCAACTTGAGTATCTTTCATGGAGAATCTATGCAAATCTTTTGCCCAATATTTAGTGGGTTAACTTTTCATTATTGAGTTTCATAAGCATTTATATTTTCCAAATAGAGGTCCTCTGTCAAATATTCCAAGTATTTCCAAGTGTTTTTTCCAATCTGTGACCCAGCTTTCACTTTCTTTCTGCTTTCAGAGTTTTAATTTCAATATATTTTAATTTACTTATTTTCTTTCACAACTGATGCTTTGTGTGTCCTAAGAAATCTTTGTCTATTCCAACACAGCAAAGTTTCTTTCTACAATTTCTAGAATTTTAGCTTTTAAGTCTATGACCCATTTTGGAATCCAAAGTTTGCACTAAAATCATATATGGTGTGAGGCAAAAGTTGAGGTGACTTCCCATTTGAATGTATAGTTATTTCATTTGTTAAAAAGACTACTTTTCCATCACTCAATTACTTTGGCGCCTTTGTCAAAAACCAATTATCCAATAGGCATAGATCTATTTCTGGACTCTATTCTGTCCATTGGCCCTTAACAATTTTTTTTTTTTTAAAGACTGAACAGGGAGCCTGATGAGGGACTCGATCCCAGGGCTGTGGGATCAAGACCTCAGCTGAAGGCAGACCTTTAACCAACTGAGCCACCCAGAGGTCCTAGCATTTAACATTTCCTATAAAACAGGTCTTCTGGCAACAAATTCACTCATCTTTTCCCTGTCTGAAAAAAGCCTTTTTTCACCTTTTCTGAAGGGTATTTTTGCTGAATATAGAATTCTAGGTTAATATGCTTTTTCTTTTAACACTTTAAAGATGTTGTAACAAGGTCTCTAACTTGCAGTTGGAGGAAAGAAATATAGTCCTTCTCTGTACAGAATGGGTTTTTTTCTCCTCTAGCTGCTTTACAATTTTCTCTGGTTTTCAACAATTTGATTATGGTATACCTTAATGAGGTTTTCTTTATGTTACCCTGCTTATTGAATTTCTTGATCTGTGAGTTTATAGTTTTCATCAATTAGGAAAAATTTCAGACATTATTTCTTATATTGTCTTTGCCTCCCTTACCCAAACTTCTAGGAATCAAAATACAAGTATGTTAAAGGACTTGATATTATCCCATAGGTGACTAAGGCACTATTATTATTTTTTTTCTTTTGGTGCTATAGTAAGCTTCAAGTTCACTGATCTTTTTGGTTCTGCTGTGACCAATCTGGTACAATTCCATCCAGTCCTTCTCATCTAGCTAGTGACCAGAAGTAATCAAATAGCAGCAATGATTTTTAAAAATAAATCTTAGACGTACTTGAACTACTGGTTTAAATGTATTAATGACAAATATTTAAGGACTATTTATTTAGAAATGTGTAGTTTTTTCAATACTTTCTTTATGCCTACAAAATTAGTTTGTGTACAAGTAACATTAGAAATGACGTGGAATATGACACCAACAATGGGTTGTTGGACATTTTTTACTTTGATCTCTTTCATAGAACGTGGCATCTGTGGAAAATGCTCTATTGTATCCTGCCAACATACTACAAGAAATATTTCAAAATAATACAAAAGTGAGCCACAGTCTTGACTAAGTGAAGATCAACTCATCCAAAATTTCTTTCCTTAATTTTTCATAGTAATTGCCAGAAGTCCAATAAGCTGGTTTTCGAAGAAAGATCATTCTAGTAACTTTGAGTGTTCAATCCGTGCAATGGTCCAGTCAGGCTTTACTCCTTGTGTAAACTCCCTCTGAAATCTAGGGCAAAAAATTACAAATAATATGAATCTTAACATTAGTCCAAATATTTCTTGGGTAACTATATAATTTGCAAGTGTACATTAGAGACAGTTTTTAGCAACAGCTAATGGTTAATCATAAATAAACATCAAAACAAAACAAGTTTAATTTACCAATTCAATCACAAAAATATCCTCACAAAATTATAATATTCTCCACTAAAATGAGTTTTTTCTTTTTTTTTTTTTTTGAGGTAGGCTCCACACCCAGTATGGAGCCCAGTATAGGGTTTGAACTCACGACTCTGAGATCAAGAACTGAGCTGAGATCAAGAATCGACCACAATTGACTGAGCCACCCAGGTGCCCCTAAAATGAGTATCTTAATCAACTAATAGTCCAAGAACTGCCAACCTTAGGAAAAGGATGTAGTTATCCTTATATAATTATTATTATATAGTAATAATAATAATAATTATTATTATTATTCTGCCATTAAATAATAGCTATCACAAATGTCTAATATGAAGAAAAATAAATTGGGCCATCGTAATGGAAAGGGTACTTTAGTGGAATTTGGTTTATATACATTAGATCAGTCCTGGAAATAAGAGTGTTTATGAACTGTCTGTTCATAAATTTGATTTATTTATAAATTTGATTTTCTAAGGAAAATCAAAAGAAGCAGAGGTATTGGTTATATCGTTCTTTAATTATATATGATGTCTTTAAAAGGAAGATGATTCGGATTTTGTATAGTAACAAATAAAACAAAATTCAAAAAAAAAAAAAAAGAAAAAAGAAAAAAAGCAGTCCTTTCAAGAAAAGTGAAAAAGTATGGCTACCTTTTACCTTAGTGAAACAGAATATATTTTCTTTCTTAGGTCATTTTCGGGATTTGTTATTTTAAATCAAGTTTACACAGTTTTGGCAACATAACAGTACCTTCTTTTAAATGAATATTAAATTATGTCTCCATTGACTTGCTTGACCTGGTTCACTGTTCCAAATTTTATTAGCACAAAAATACATGATAGTGTCTCTTAAATAAGTTGCTAACCTACTAAACAGTACCTCTTTATACATAGGAACACTTCAATTTTATACGTGAACCCCTACCAGAGTACCTGGTAAACAGGAAATGATTAATAAATGTCTAGAGAGTAGATGGTCCATGTGCCAACTGTGGCGGATTGTATTTTCCAAGGATGGTTATAACCATATGCCCCATCACACATGTTCTTCTGCAATGTGACCCTGCTTTGCCCCATAAAGAGGTGGAGTCTCTCCTGCCCTTTCAACTGTGCGGGTCCTAGGACTGCTTTGACAAGCAGACTAAGGTGAAAATGTTCCCATCCTGGGCACAGTCCTTTACCTGGTGTAGCCAATGACCACATAAAACATGTGAATAGCCTGAGATCGCCTCAAACCCAAGCCACGAAGAGAGGCCTTGGAGAATGAGATGTTATGTGGAAAAGTCAAGGAGCACCAAGGGAATCCGCGTGAGTGACAAAGCCACAATGGAAATGAATCCTCCAGCCCCCGCCACAAAGAAAACCCCAGAGCTGAGCCTTCCCAAAACTCCTGAGCAGTAAAACAGCAGACAAAAATACAGCTGCTTGACGTGACTGAGTTTGGGAGTGGTTTATAACACAGCAATAGAAAGCTTCAACACCCTTTAATTAAATTCAGCAATATTACCTCTTTCTAACTTCTCAACACTTCTGTTTCATGTCCAGTATGTCTTTATGACTTTCTCTCTTCTTAAATAACTTGTCAAATGTCAATCCTTTTCTTCCTAAAGCTCCCTTTAGCTTTCATACCTTCATACTTCCTTCATACTACCTTCCATTTTCTAGAGAAAGGAAACAATGAAATGAGATTAGACTTACTCATAGCTTGCGCTAAGAAGCTGTTTAGTTTCCACGTTCTGATCCCCCAACTTAACCTGGAACACACTGGCTCCACTTAAAGTTTCACTGGGGATGTTGGCACTGGTTAGATACCAAAAGCACATCAGGATGTTAACAAACTTCCTTCCTTAGAGAAAAAACACACACATACACACATACAAATACAAATCACAAAAATCTATCATCCATATATCCAAAATGAAATAGAAGTTGGCAATAGCTACACAGTTGTTACAGATCATATTTCATACCTAGTCTAGTTTAGTACGATACTAACATCGGTGACTTTCTATTTTTAAAACATTCTCTTAACGTTGATGACATATTTGCCGCCTTCTCTGCATCTCAGAAATAACAGTTAGGATTTCTTGAGCATGTACTATGTACCCTAATTCACTTTACTATGTGCCTAATGATTACAACAATGTAGTATGTTAAAATCAGGTTGTGACCATGATGCTGAGATGCAATTTGAAATATTAGGGGAGAAGAAAATATTTATCACTAAACATATCTATAGAAATGTTTTAAGTTAACATGTGTATGAAAAATGTTTAACCATTAAAGGGTCCTATATCAGAACTGCATTGCAAAGTATGTAAGCAAAAGCTAGATTTCCTGTGTGCCTGGCACATAATACATTTGCCAATATTTTAGAAGAAATAAATGAAGTCAATACATTTTTTAGGAATGCTATAGGGAAAATGTATGCATTGGCCAAGGAGAAGAACGAAATAACTACTAAAGTTCCTTTTAACCTTTTCATTGTCTCCAAACAAATCCAATGTGGGAGTTCCACAGCCAGTCTTACTTTCAAAAAAGTCATTAACTAATATTATCTACTTTTTCTTTTATTCCTTCTATTTCACATATATTTAACATATATTTAAAAGGTAATGCTGAATTGTTTCCTTCAAGTTAGGAAATCTGAAACCCCAAGTATTTTCTCTTTGAGACATGATAGCAGCCTTAAACAATTTTCATCAACTTAGGTGATGATACCGTCTCTCGTGAATGAATAGTAGTAGAGGAAGGTCCTAGATAGAAGGGCTTAAGTTATTACCATATCTTAACTCTCCCAGAGTTAGGTCTTGAAAGAATTAATGTATTATTTTTCCTGAAGTCTGCTTGAACCAACAAAATCCCCACTATTTCATGATTACCCACTAGATTAGCTTACCTGGGCCATTATTTATCATTTAAACTGACTACGCTCTAGCATTACCTTTCTCGTCATAGTAAATGGAGATGTCTCCTGTTGATGTGTATACAATTTCATCTATGTCAGCAGCAAGGGCATTTTTATGGTTGTCAGGTAGTGAAGTGACCTTCTCCTTCAATACATGGAGCACCTAAGTATGGAAAAAACAAATCATAGTTCACCCGCTGAATCTTCAAAAGCCTTTCAAAAAGCAGATGAGTTCCTTACGGAATGAATTTTTCTATGCCTATTTTTAAATGTACTACCATATTTACTCATATTCAAAAGCAAGGCTGAAAGGCATCAAACTGTTTAATAGGTAATTCCTAACAGCACATTCAGTATAAAGACAACTGAAAAACATCACATTTACCTACTTATTCCTTAAGTAGCAAATCTTTCTATGCGTTTATATGACCCAAAGTACCCAAAAGTAAAGATACAGGGACTCTACTTCGGCTAATGGCACACATACTACTTTTAAGCATAAATAAAGGTAACATGTATTATTCTATTGCAGGAGAATAATACATTTATTTTTAAAGGAAAATTAAAAGTATACTTCACCTCTTTGGCCACAAGTTCTTCCAACAGATCAAATTTACACTGTGACAGTAACTTGGACACATGAGCAAAAGCCTTAAAAAAAGAAAAAGTGGGGAGAGGTTGATAATCGTTATTTCAAAACACCGTGTAAAATACCATACAATGTACAATGCTCATACATAAATAGCTTAGTATCATAAAGACTGTTTTATGATAAAGGTGATAAACAATGTCCAATCTGATATCATTGTCAGGCATGAGTCCTTCAAAGTTGGTTGGCTTTTCTCTTCTCATATGACCTTCCCACATATACAGTAATGAGCTCACTGCCAATTACGTCTCCACTCTCAGGACCAGGGGAAAGACAGTGTGTGTGTACACATTAGCTCTCAACACAAATCCTCCTATAGCTTTCCTTTTACAATAATAACGAAGTAATCACTGTTATTACTGTAATGACTATTATGTGACACCCTCCCCCCCCTTAACCATGAACACAAAGAATTTGAGAAACAGGGCAATCTAGATTGTACTGGGAGTCTGGAGATTTGGGTTGCAATCTGACCCTCGTTAAGATTGGTAAGGCAGGGCGCCTGGGTGGCTCAGTGGGTTAAGCCTCTGCTTTTGGCTCAGGTCATGATCTGAGTCCTGGGATCGAGGCCCAACTAGGGCTCTCTGCTCGGCGGGGAGCCTGCTTCCCCCTCTCTCTCTGCCTGCCTCTCGGCCTAGTTGTGACCTCTCTATGTCAACTAAATAAATAAAATCTTCAAAAAAAAAAAAAAAAAGATTGGTAAGGCAGGTCTGGGAAAGTGGGAGAAAAGATAACGAACGAGTTTACAGTCTAAGTGGATGCCAACTTTGAAGTATGAGATGCCACTGTAAAGTAGGGGGGAACCAACCGCATTCCTCCATATTCTCAGCAGTGAGACTGAAACGGTTATAAGACTCCACCTGTCTTCAAGGAGCTTTCAGGTTGCTTGAGAAGGGAGGCAAGTAAACTGACAAGTTCAAGAACTGTGACAGGAGCAGGAACAGGATGACCTGAGCAGAAAAGCCACTTAAGCCAATCTGGGAGGACCAGGGCCTCTGAAAGGAAGAGCATCCCAGATGAGATCTGAAGAACTAGCAGGACAAGCAGGTGTTTGGGATGGGATGTTACCAGATTAACAGTTTTCCCCCAAACTCATACGCAGCAGTCCTAACTCCCATCTCAGAAGGGGACTATATTTGGAGAGAGGGTCTTTAAAAAGGTGATTAAGATGAGGGTGGGCCTTAATCCAACCTGACTTTATAAGAAGAAATTCTGACACCCACACAGGGGGGGAAAAAAAAAAAAACACATGAGGGCACAGAAGACAGTCATTTGCAAGGCAGGCAGAGGCCTCAGAAGAAACCAAACCTGCCAATACCTGGGTCTTGGACTTCTATCCTCCAAAACGGTGAGAAAACAAAGTTCTGTGGTTTAAGTAAGCCAGACTGTGGTATTTTGTTATACCAGCCCTGGCAAACTGGCCAATGAGAGAGTTGAATTTTGAGAAAATGCATATATCCGAACAGATTCAAGGACCCCTTGCAAACATTTTAGGGGCCCTGAGGGTTCAGAGACACTATACATATATTAATAAGCCTTCATGTGAGGAAGATGGTGGTATTTAGGTAAGAAGAAACGAAGACCACAGTGATCATAGGGAAACCCAACCATTATATTTTCGTTTGTGGCCAACGTGTGATATTTGTGGGGCCAAAGATCCCACCTGAGCAAATTATCTGATAATAATGAACCATTAGGAGGCTGCCCTGACAAGGCTTTGATAATACAGGATTGTCTAACCCCAAGAGGCTTCTAGGAAATAGCCCTCTAAAACATGCAAGCACCATACAGGAAAACAAACACTGTATGATTAATGTGGTTTGATGTCAGTAACAGGGAAGAAGATCATATGCACACATCAGTAGTGTTATATTGTGACAGAAGAAAATATAAGTTTGTTCTTTGTTCTGATTTCTGGCACAGAGCTCCTAAAACAAGCCCCTTTCAACCCTAGCTGAGTTTAGGCTAATGAGGTGACTGCTGTCACGGAAGCTCCACACCCTTCCCACATCCCTCACCCTATACATCTCTTCTATTTGGCTGTTCCTGAATTGTATCCTTCTGAAAAAACTGGAAATACCAAGTAAGGCACACTGGCCAGTCAAATGGAGCCCTGACTTGTGATTAGCGTCTGAAATGGAGGCAGTCATCTGGGACTGAGCCCTAACCTGTGGGCATTAATTCCAGGGAGTTAGCGTCAAAACTGCTGTAGAATGCCCTGATGAGGCAGGCCTTGATGACACAGGAGTGTCTAACCTAGAGAGTCTTCTAGGAAATAGCCCTCTTTTTTCATAGAAAAGGCTAAAAACTTACAAACAAAATATATAAGAAAACATACAGTATATGACTAACGTGGTTTATTGGCAGTAATAGGAAAGATATCATGTTATGTGTACATTTTTTTTTAAGATTTTATTTATTTGACAGACAGAGATCACAAGTAAGCAGAGAGGCAGGCAGAGAGAGAAAGGAGGAAGCAGGCTCCCTGCTGAGCAGAGCACCCGAGGTGGGGCTCTATCCCAGGACCCTGGGATCGTGATCTGAGCCAAAGGCAGAGGCTTTGACCCACTGAGCCACCCAGGCGCCCCCTGTTATGTGTACATATTAATGAAAAGCAGGGTCTATGGCACTAATAAAGCTTAGCATTGGACCACCTATTCCCTTGGCTCATGTAATGAATCAAAACTTGACTAGATTGTACTTAACCATCTCAATTTCTAGTGACTCAAGGACCAAGACTGCTTGTAGACTGGGTCACAGCACAGGGCTCACAATGCATCCTTGAGCCACTGTTTTGTCATTGGCAAAGGAGAGTTAGACTAGAATCATGAACCTTAAGATGCCTTTTTGTTTTCATGTCTCTGATTAAAAAAAAAAAAACCTGAATGAAAATGATCTAATGATCACTTGATATTCATAACCCAAGATAAGATTTTATTGCTGGGAAGTTAGCTTAAGGAGAAAGGGCAAGTGGAGCCCATGAGAGGAGATGAACTAGCTAATGTTTTTGCACCAGATTATTCCCAAGCCCTAGAATTATGTATGTATGTATGTAACCCATGTAAAAAAAAAAAAAAGATACAGTTGCACTAAGAGATCTAGGAGGGAGAAGGTTTTTTTTGCCATGTCCTTTTAAATCTTAGGTGTTGAAGAACTAATTTGCTTGATATAAAAGGAATGTTAAGTAACCAGTGGTTTAAGGGAATTGATTTGCCATGGATGACCCAATATTGCTTTTGAAAATAACAGTGGTTGAATGCACAAAAACGGACTTAGATGAGGCAAAAATTGTTTACAGACTGGCTGATTAGGGGGTGGAGATACTTCATAGCAAGGAGGAGGGCTAAAATAGCTAACAGGGGAAACAGGATGAGAGAGTGGCTAAAAAGTGTTCCAAGCATCCTCCCCAGAGTCTGGGGAGAGGATTTCATTCCTTACTGGTATCAATGAGCTGGTACAGTTATACAATGTTATGAGGCAGACAAACTCACATATCATCAGTGAGCACTGCAGAGGAGAGTAAAATCATGCCACTTGACCTCTGCATGAACAAAAGATTCTGAGAACTGATATGAGCAGAGGTTTACCTCTTAAAATGCTTAAGTCAAGCTTGGCGTTTGCTTTTTAATTTTTTTATAAACACATAAAGCAGTCAAGAGTTGACTCAGGGAAGCAGGAACCAGGAGTTAATATCGACACGGATTATATAAAGTTGGAAATGATTTATGATTGATGGGTCACACAAATAAGTATAAATGGCTGTAGTTTACAGAAATAATCTGAAATAAATTAGGAACAAATGTATCGGTATTGCGAAATGATCCCACTAATAGCGTAAGTGTAAGGTATATGGCAGTACGAACTGGCAAACAAACCATGACTTCTATTTATCACCTGTTCTGAAACGCTTGGGAATGACAAACCCTCAAAGGGATTCAAAAGAAATGTAGAGATGCACTTTCATCCTAGAAAAATGCATGTGCACGCAAAATCCATGAACAATCGTAGGGCCCAAAGTGACCACTGTGTGACAAGGGTCAGACAGGGTATTACCAGTCACTCGGAAAGAAACAGGACAAGACAGGGCTTAAACTTCTCGGTGCGCAGGGCGCTGTGCGCTTATCAGCGACCAGGTTGTCTCAGCCAATTCTTGGAAAAGGTAAAACTGCTTCGCTCTAGATTATTCTTTAAAGAGGATGATAGGGAGGGTTGCAGGGTAGGGAGAGGGGCAAGGAAGCTCCACCAAACAGCTAGCCGGAAGTTTCGTTTTTCTACCAAAATTACATTATTGCACTAGGAAAATACTATCTGGTTTACTCTTCGAAACAATCTTATCTACTCATTCATTCACTCAATAATTTGTGTAGTGTCTACTGTGTGCCAGGCACTGTCTTCATTCTGCAGAAAATCACATTCAGAAAACACAAAGCCATGAAGCTTTAAAGTGGCAGAAAATGGGCTTTGAGTCGAATCCATTTCTATCGGATTCAAAACCTGCAGAGCGGAAAAAGAAACTGGGGGACTTGAGCCTGGTGTCTCCTCCGAACCCCTCCCCGTCGGCGACCATGCAAACAGGCTGAAGCTTAATTCAAGTCCAGAAGCAGCCAGGGGGCTCGGTGCCTGGGTCACTACCCACGTGGGATGACCCGGGACCCAGGGGGTAAAACTCTTCGCTCAAGACTTCCTGCGTGGTAACAGCCGAATGCCTGAGAGGCTAACGGGTCAACCCCAAGTCAAGAAACAAACCTGCTTCGCTCCCTCAGAGAATTCTGCGATGCTGAACTCTTGGTCGAAATAGGCCCAGATTAGGAAGGCGTAAATTCGAGTCCGAACCCAGTTGATGGGGTTGGAGAAGCCCAGAATGATCATCTTGGTTTTCTGGCGCGGCTGGGGCTGCTCCTCCGCACTGTAGCGGCGCCGAGGGTAGGCAGGGAAGACGGAGAGGGCGGCAGGGGGTCCCGGAGGGCTGAGCAGGGGCCGCGGAGGGCCGCGAGCTAGCAGCGCCGAGGCCCAAGTGACGCGAGGAAGTGGGGCCGCTCCGGAGCCGAGGCGGCGGCGGCAGAAGCAGCAGAGTCCAGCCAACCGCGGCCCCACCTCGGCTACACCGGGAGTCAGGGGTCGAGCGGCCCCGCCGGGCAGAGGCGGAGAGAGCAGAAAGCGGGGCAAAAGACGCACGGCCAGCGCCATTTTTATGACTTTTCACCCCCGTCCCCGTCTGTGCTGTGTCGAATTAAAGCCGGCGGGAAACCAGCAGCGCAGCATCCGGGGAGAGAGACTGGTGAGTAAAGTTGCCCTGCTGCTGCCACCTCTGGTGAGTCGGCCCCATTCCGCCCCCCAGCACGCCGCTCACGTAAAGGCCTTTTAGCCCCCAGTCTCGCTCTCCGACCAGCCACGCTCGCGCGTCCGCCGCTGCCGCGGGCCTTCTCTCTCCGGCTCGTGTTTCCGGGCGGACGGTATTCTGGGGGACGCGTCAGGCCGGGGTTTCCCGGACTTGCAAGAGGACTGGCGTGAGCCACCATGGCCTGGCAGAGTATCCCGGTGCCTCGGCTTGAGGGCGTTTCGCAGGAACAGTTCGTGCAGCACCTCTACCCACAGGTGAGCCCCTCTCTACCACCTGAGCGGCTCCAGGTTGGTTTCTTGAGACCCAGAGTATGGGGAGGAGGCAGCGGGCGGCTGAGGAAGGTTGGTTGGCTCTGTGGCTAGGGGAGAGGGCGCATGGGGGATGGCGAATGGCTCATCTGCTGAGTTTTCCAGAGAGAACAGCTCCACGTTTGTGGGGAGCAGGATGACAGCGGAGACCTGAGTGCGAGAAGCGCCTTGCTCACTGCGAAGAGTGGCCTCTCTGGGACTCTCTGACGCTCTTTCCGTTACCATGGCAACGAAGGGAGCTTCCCCACCCCCACCCATCTTGTTTCGGGTTTCCTGAAGTTTAGAGGAGGTTTCACCGCCCCGCTGGTGGCGCAAAAGGTGCCTGCTAGTCTCTTCGAGTTGTTGGATTCAGAAGAGCAATTTTTCACTGCCTTGAGCTAAAGGGGGGAGCAGTGGGAATCCTTCAGGAAACTTCCACCGGTCTTGGATTCTAACGAACCTGGGTTCTAGTTCAGGCACTGGACGCTCTTATATGTGCAATTCGAACCTTTGTTCTTTTAGAGAAAACTCAAGAGGAAAATATTAAAGAGAAGTCTTTCTCCTTGCACTGCTTTGTAAGGGAGCCCATCCTTGAGAGAAACTGAGACTAAATAGCCCAGCAGGTATTTAAAGAAAAAATAATCCACAAGGATATAGTTGGTATGCTTACGGTTGATCTCTCCTCTCTCCCCGCAATTTTACTTGATATTTACAAGTAAGAGTACAGTCCTCAGTATTAAAGAAGCAGGAATGAAGTTTTTTCTTTCAGGAGTTGGCAACCTACAGAGAGGATCTAAGCCTTCATTTATTTGTGGATCTAATGCTGGATGGTCTGTGTTGCATCACTGAGTTTCATAAACTGGAAAATTGCAGACAGCACTCTTGTCACAATGTAGTAAAATTAGAAATTAATGAAATGGGAAAACAAGATCTGTCTACTCGGAAACACTAAAGAAAATCTACGAGGGGACATAGTCTTCATATTTTTAACATGTTTAAATAATTAACAGTGTGATAATACGTGCATGAGTAGATAGACCAGAGAAATAAAACCAAAAGTCTGGAGATCTACATATATCCAGAAATAAAGATTTAAGTATGTGATGAAGGTGAGATGTTCAGAATCACTGGAGCAGAGGAATTTTTAAATGAATGATGCTGGGGCAACTGGATTGTCATTGAAAAAATGATAAAATTAGATTTATATCTGACACCATATGCAAGAGTAATCTCTAAATGGATCAGAGATACAACTATAAAAAAAGACTACACAGTACTAGAAGAAAACACGGGTAAATTCTTCTATATTGTGGGCCTGTGAAAGGGCTTTCTAACTATGAAAATTCAGATGTAGTAAAAGATTAACATTTGAATACGTAAAATACAAGCTGGGAAAAAATATTGACAACATGTTTCATAAAAGGGCCATAAAAGCCCGTATATTTAAGAACTTTTAAAAAATACAGGGTGGGGTGTGAAAGGCCAAAAATCTGATAAAATGTGAGCAGTCGACAAAAAAAAAAAAATCAAATGGCCTATAAACATGAAAAGATGTTCAGCTTTCCTAATAAGAGAACTTCAGGCCACACACTGATGTGCCATTTCTTATCCATCATTGGCAAAAAATCAAAAGGCTGATTTTTAGTAATACTACTCTTGGTGAGGCTGTGAAGGAACTGGCACTCTCACACTTTATGCCAAGTGGTACAACCCTTATGGAGGGGAATTTGGTATATCTAATGAAACTGTGTATATGTTTATGATCCAGCCATCCTTTTAGGAGTTTACTTTGATGATTATTGCAAATAACCTAAAAAAAAACTATGCGTAGGAGAGTGATTAAATTACTCATTTACACATGGTATACAAAGCTGTAAAAAAGAATGAGGGAGATTAGCTGAACTGATAGCAGTGATTTCCAGGGTATGTTTTTAAATTAAAAAATCAAATTGCAAAAGAAAATATGTAACATGCCACCTTTTTGTGAAACAAGGGGAAACAAAGAAGTATATATGTTTTTGGTCTCTTTGAAAAAAAACCAAAAAACAAAAAAACAGGAATGATAAGCCAGAAATGAGACTGGTTAACTACAGAGGATGAGTGAATATGGGATAGAAGAATGTGGCTGTGGTGACCCTTTTGTATAGTTTCAACTTTTGGGATCCCATTAATGTTTTACCTTCTAAAGTAATAGTAATAATAAAATTAGCAAGGGTAAGGATGATTGAAAAACCCAAAACTCGGAGGAAGATAAGAAACCCAAGTCACTTTTACATATTAAACAAACATATTAAACACTGAGCTCTAGTTAATAGACTTGCTTTTTATAGTGGTGTGACTTAGCAATTGTAAAAGTACTTACTGTGAATTTATGCAATTTAATTAATTAAAGATGAATCATTGATAGGAGTGAGGTTTCTCATTGTTAAGAGAAAGGGGTTACAAATATATAAGCAAAAATTAAGATGAGTCTTGTGATATAAGATCGGAATTGAGGTATCAGTATTAGAGGTATTATGGTTCATTCATACATATATCCATTGTGTGTGTGTGTGTGTGTGTGTGTGTGTGTGTGTGTGTAGTATATATGTGTGCTTGGAGAGAGAGATAAATAGATACGGTAGCTATATGATACATATAAATACATAGGTGGGGTGAGGGGCTGTGCTCATGCACACGCACGCATATTTGGGAAAAGGGGGAATGAGTATACAGACTTGCACATATTTCCTAGCTCTGTCCACTGAGAAGGCCTGGTAGTAATGATAACCTCAATAGCAATGAACACCTCTAACACCCAGATCATGGTTTCTAAGTAACATTCCCTTTAAAAGAAATCAGAGCTGCTTGAAGAAATGACTGTGGGGCTGGGAATGAAAGAGTATAAGAGGATTCTGGATTATGGGTTTTTTTTGCTATAAAATAAGGAAGTGTTAAGGTAAAAAGTCACAAGAGCCAGCTTGATTTGGATCCTCCTGGCCAAATATAAGATAATTCAAGCATCAAAATTATATCAGTAGATTATAACCAAGTGAATAAAATTAATAGGTGGAGATAAATTAGTTCATTTTGACGTTAGTCAATTAATGTAGAAGATGATGGAGTTTTTAAAAATCATAATTTTTGCCTTCATCATAACAATACTTAATTCAGGAATGAATTACCAGTTGATCAAAATTAATACCATAAATAATAGGGCAAAACATCTTGTGCTGCCTGATGTGTTACACTGAGATGGATACAACATTGCTTCTTTGGTACATTGCTTCTAAAAATGCATTACCCAGGGGCGTCTGGGTGGCTCAGTGGTTAAGCGTGTGCCTTCAGCTCAGGTCATGATCCCAGGGTCCTGGGATCGAGCCCTGCATCAGGCTCCCTGCTTGGCAGGAAGCCTGGTTCTCCCTCTCCCACTCCCCCTGCTTGTATTCCCTCTCTCGCTGTCTCTCTCTCTGTCGAATAAATAAATAAAATCTTTGGGGAAAATAAATACAAATAAAAATGCATAACCTGAATCCAATCATGAAAAAACATCAGATAAACCGAAATTGAAGGACATCCTACAAAATAACTGGTCTATATTTTTCAAAAACATCAAGATCATGGAAGAAGGCAGCTGAGGAACTGTTCAGATTAAGGGACATGGCAACTCAATGCAATGTGGTATCTCAGAAATAGGGGGAAAAAACACTATAAGGAATAATATTAGGATAGTTTGGAAAATTTGGATATGGACTGTGAAGTTGTAGTATTACATCAGTGCTAAATGTAATTTTGATAATTACTCTGTGGCTATGTAAGAAAAGGTCTTTTTTTCAGGAAATATACTTCAGTTTTTGGAGATAAAGGAGTATGTCTGCAACTTACTTAGAAGTAGTTAAGAAAAAATTTAATTATTTTTAGTACTATGTTCCTCTCTATGCACACATAGTGAGAGTGAGAGCAAATTATAAAGTAAATGGGGCAAATGTTAAATTAACAGTTGTTGAACCAGAGTAAAGGGTATATGGGGATTCTTCTTGCAGCTTTCCACAACTTTGGAATAGTATCAAAATAAAAAATTATGAACAGTATTTGACTATAAAATACAAATTTTAATCATCATTTATATTTTGTCATAAATAACACTTGTGACAATGCCTTTTTTTTTTTTTTAAGGTTGACTGATTTGAGAGAGACAGAGTAAGTGTGAGGGTGGGGAGAGCAGAGGGAGAAAGAGAATCTTGAGCAGACTCCCCCTTGAGCACTTGAGCCCAGACGTGGGCCTCAATCCCATGATCCATGAGATTATGACCTGAGCTGAAACCACTAGTCAGATGCTCAACCGACTGAGGCACCCAGCCACCCTGAAAATGCTTTAAATAATGTTCAGATTTCTGGTTCTCAGCTACTGATGGTACTGCTGTTTCATTTAGTTTGTTTTCCTAATGTTAAAGTTTCATTCCAAGTTTATTACATTGCTGTTATCCTGCTCTATAGCATGCATTGTCGAAAGGTGTGAGTTTGAGTGTTTTAGGATCAAGAATAATTTAATTGTTTTTGTCCTTCTATGGCCAAATAATATAATTAATATATAATATAATATAAATAATAATATAAATATAATTCCGGATATATTGTTCATTTTCCCTAATTTTTGGTTGTATGCTGTTCCCCACTTACAGAGAAAACCCCTGGTGTTGGAAGGAATTGACTTGGGGGCATGTACAAGCAAATGGACAGTGGATTACCTGAGCCAGGTTGGAGGGAGAAAAGAAGTAAAGGTTCATGTCGCCGCAGTTGCCCAGATGGACTTCATTAGTAAGAACTTTGTGTATAGGTATTTTCTTCTGAGGTTTACTCTGGGACTACAAGTAACTTATTTTGAACCTTGCAGATATTTTTGTCTTATTTTACAAAGACTGTATGGCATTTCCCCTTTTGGCTACTTTGATACCGTCACAGAATAGCTTTGTAATTTTAAAGAATAGCTTTTAAAAGACACGGATTCTGAGTTCACACAGTTATAGAAAGACATTTTCTAAGACCATTTTTTTCAAATAGGGTATTTGGCTTATAGCTTCTGGAGCTATGGAAGGAACTGGATTTCTGTAACTGGTGTTAGAGTGCCTCTAACATTGGGTGTGCTATCCTCACTCCTGCTTCATTAATTAGTAGATCTGACCTCATTAGTAATTGTTATAGAGTAATGAACTCTAAAGTTTTCCCTCATAACCTATTCTGATTTTTAATGCTCTTATTTTTAGAAGATTTTCTAATTCATAATTGTGACAGATACATAAGCCATGTTTTCTTTTTCTGCCCTCTTCAGAAATAAAGGACAGGTAGTTGTTATGTTTGATACAGTTTTTCATCAACTTCAATGCTTTGAAAAAAAAAAATCACACTAAATTTTCTCTTTTGACAAAATAACCTTTAATACTTTTAATTTCCCTTGTGGTTGTCATTTTATGCTTTGGGATGTCTTAAAAGTAAAAAAGATAGTTAAACACTGCTGAATGTTCAAACTTGAAAGTTTTAAACGTTGTAATCTTATAAATAACGTTATTTATTCCCATGTTTCATTAAAAATGCTAAAAAACAAATTATATTCTGGGCATGTGCAGTTTCCAGCAAATTCAGTCTATTGAAAAACCATGTAGTTCACAAAAGAGTGATTTTTAAAGAAAGGTGGTTCTCACTGTTCGTTCCAGAGTTTAGAGATGAGTTAAACAGAGCTTCTAATGTCCAGAGCCTTTCCTTTCTCATTAGAGTTTTCCAGGCTCATATAGCAGCTTGCCAAAGTATTTCTTAGTTTTTGATCCTTTGAATGTTCACCATTATAGTTTTCGTTTTTAATAGGCCGTGAATTGAATTTAATTGCTGTAAGTTTTTCTAAGTGTAAGAACTTTTCATTTTTTATTAAATCAAAAAGGTGGAAGAAAGTGCTGGAATGGTGAACATTTTTAAGCCAGCAGTTAATGATGTTTATTTTCCAGAGAGTCCAAAGCCATAACAAATGGGTATTGAAACTTCATCTTGAATTGCTTTGCTGTTTTGTCATGTTCCATAAACTTTTCAAAACTTGTTTTTGAATCACATATATTATGTAATAGTTCCTATCCCAGCTTTCTTCAAGCCTTTCACTGGAGCTACTGAAGAGTTGCAAGATTATTTTTTTAGTGCAAGAAAAAAAAATAGATTTAGTCATTGTTGGCAGTTACCAGGGAGTAGGAAAGAAGGGAGGCATCTAGGTCAGAAAGGGTCTAGAAGGAAGAAATCCTACACGCATAAATCATTGTTATCACTTCAGTTCCAGGTTGCATTTCTGCTTACTTAAATATTTGAAGAGCAATACATTTCCAGGTCTTAGCTTTTACTTCTTTCTTCTTGGTGGCTCTCAGAACCGGGGTACTATGCGTGAGAGTATTGTGCGGTAAGAATACTGTTGGTATTCTTATGGTCATAGATCTAAAGAAATAAATCAGTTTGACTCTTACAGCTTTAATTGCTTCTATCACATCATCTAATCCCTTTCATCATCCTGCTCTTATTATTTATTATACTTTCATTAATCCTGATCTTGATTTTGCAAAGCAGCCTTTGCAAATGAGAAACAGGACGGTGCGAGATTTTTTTTTCTTTTTCTTAATGTTGCTAACTACTTTTGTCCTGCTGAGGGGTATATTACCATTGTTATTAACCCCACCACTTGTCCTTTACTGAGTGCTTACTATATACCAAGTACTGTGCCATGCATCCTAGATCATATATTAGTCATTTAATTTAGAAAGTCTGTGAGGTACTTTTTTGTTTGTTTGTTTTGTTTTCAATAATTATACAGTCGAGAAAATGGAGGCTTAAAAACATTAAGTAACTTACCCAAGACCATACGGCTTGAAATAATGGAACCAAATTTGTACCCAAATTAGCCTGACTCCACAGAACCCATGATCCTAACCCCCTCTTTGATACTACCTCCCTTACTGGTCTGTTTACCAGTCCAGACAGATGGAACTTAAATGGCAAATGTCCTTTTTTTGAAACATGCATGGGATAGATTAAATCCTTGAGTCTAAGGAATTCCCAATTCCTACCTCATTTCCTCTTCTCTTAGCTTTGCTTCTACAGCTCTGACAGGCGCCATTACCCAAGGGAAAAAACTGCTGAGAGCACTCAAGTTCTGCTTTTCGGGGTTGAGTTACTCTGTCTGCCCTGTTCTTAGAAAGGTCTTGAAACACTTTAGAGTTTTCAACTAGTATCTAGTGCAAAGATAAGCCGAGGCAACTGCACCAAATTAGGGATATCTCTGGACCGGAGAGGCTTCCGTATTTTCCCCAAACTCTTCAGAGTTGCTTTAGTAGGAATGAAGGGTTTGTGATGAGGTAAGAGATGGAAAACATTGCATAGGAGGATGCCAAGTAAATTTGTTGATACAGTTAATTAGAAACTGTAGCAGCAAATTGGTCTTCAGGTGGCAGACTCCTTTCTTCTCTCTTGCAGTGCTCACTCTTACACATAATCATCAGCAGTGTCCTCAAGTTCAGATTGACATTCATGTCCACAGGACCCACTAGTCCATAATCTGGCAACAGATTCACTTAGCTTTACACAGGAATCCACATTCTAGCCGTATAGTATCAGTGGGAGTCCTTACACCAATCCAGGAGCCATTTTTTTGGTTCACCAAGTGACAGCTTACTTGCAAGGGAACATGACTATAAAGATGGGTATAGAAACACCTTGGCTAAATTAAGCCAACTAGTCCATAGAAACCAATGACATGAAATGGCCCATGAAATTTAGTTTCTAGGTTCCTCCAAGGGAGAAACTCAATGACAAGAGTTACACCACACAGGGAAGCCATATCTTTCCCTTCTTAACAAATATTTATAATCCACGCATCGACCTTTCAGTTTAGACATAGTTCATCCATTAGGGGTCATTTTTTACAAGAAACAATGTTAACTGATATCACAGGTGACACTCTACATTTATCTTAACTCAGCAGGTTTCTACAAAAGCATTGCTAGGAAAAGGGTAAGCCCAAGGTCATCTTCTTACAGAGGAGAAAGGGTTTTTGCTAACCTTTTCTCCCCACTTCCTCGGTACAGAGTTCAAGTGGAAAGATACTTGGTGGTAAGAGTGAAAAGACTAAAAGAAAAAAAAGAGAAAAGACTTCTACTCTTAATCAGAGGTTTGGCGGCTGGAGTGCAGTGAGGGTTAGGGGGAGAGGCTTTTGACTCAGATGCTTTTTAGGAGGTCATTGTCTTGATGTTACTATTACCAACTTCATGTCAGGGTCCGTCCGTACTTCTGCTTCTAGGATGGTGAAGGGACAGGATGAGAACCAGAAAAATGGTAGCCTCCAGGCTCAAGAGTGACATAAAAGGAAACGACTGCTTATGTGATGTTCAGCTCTGTTTACCACAAGGGAAGGAGATAGCCATTTGAACAGAAATAATGAAGAAGAATAAAACTTGGTCACTTCCCTGAATTCTCCTTGAGGTATTCCTAAGACTTCAAATGACAGAGTGGTGAAGGAGAGTGAGAGCAGGGCTGTGAGCTTCTGTTTCCACTGGTAGTGCCAAAAGGCAGGAAGATGAGTGAGAGAGTGAGGACTTGATCTCTCTGGACCATTTGCCTGGGGTCTCTTCCAAAGGGGCACTTTGTAGTTTGTCCCATTCCACAGTCTCAAGACTTGTTTTGCCATGACACTTGAAGTATCACATTTGAAAGTTTGTGTATATCCAGAGGTAACCGGATACCACAGTAATATTTTTCTAACAGTAACTTGGAATAGGAGAGTATTGACATAAGAAGGATTCATCTGTCGCATAGATTTAAAAGTCCTTAATTTTTGAAATTGTAATTTTAGACAGTCTAGGTCAAATAGAAAGGACCTAAAAGAATTTTGAAAATTTAGAATTCCACATAATAGGTTATGATTAAATTACAGCTATTATAAAACAGCAAAGCATATACAACTGCAACAAGCCTATATGTATAGTGATAAGGGTATTTACTAGTTGATTTATTGAGTCCAAGGCTTCTTTGTATTTATTTCAGAACTTTACCTTTTGATAAGTTGGTTCAGAGGGCAGCTGAAGAAAAGCATGAAGAATTCTTTATTTCAGAGGTAACTGATTTGAACCTATTTTCTTTAGAAAACATTAATATGTATATATTAGGTGGATTTTCTTAAACAAGAATATTAGATATAAAAGGGTTGTAGCCTTCTCTGAGAGCTATTTTTAAGGTTTGGGTTTGTATGCCAGTAGATCTAGTCTTGCTATTTATTAGATCTCAAACCTTGGCCAAATTATTTTTCTGTGCCTCAGTATACTCACCTATAAAATGGGAACAGTTAAAGTACCTATTTAATAAGGTTTCTGTGACAGTTAACTAAATAAAATCTGTAGAGTACTTAGCACAATGCATGACATGTAGAAACTACTCCCTAAATGTTAGCGATTAATCATACTTTTTCTGAATATGCTTTGTTCTGGGGTGCCTGGGTGGCTCAGTCAGTTAAGCGGCTGCCTTCGGCTCAGGTCACGATCCTGGGGTCCTGAGATTGAGACTTTCATTGAGCTCCCTACTCAGCAAGGAGCCTGCTTCTTCCTCTACCTCTACCTGTTGCTCCCCCTGCTTGTGCAGTCTCGCCGTTAAAAAAAAAAAAAAGGAAAGAAAATGCTTTGGTCTGATGTGCAAAGTTCAAATGCCAAAGGAGAACTTTATTTTCATATCATATTGACCGTCAGACTACTTTTATATTTTATTTTTGTTATTATCAATGTGACTTCTGTTGTATTTGTTATAATATTTGTCCAGGATTAAATGCAGAAGAATTCTATTTATTTACATTATAATCCAGTTTTAAATAATTCAATTTAAATAGCTTGAGATAAAACATTGAGGCTTATATATATATTTTTTTTTAAAAAATTCACTGTTATCTCAAAAGCACATTTTAAAAATGAACTGCTTTTCAAGCTTTGAATAAAGCTGTTGTCTGCATTTGAGCCAGCTGGGCTGTTGGCCAGTTTGGTAGTGACAGGTGCTGCCTGCTCACCGTTGTCTCAACAGGTAGTGGTTACACTAGATGACCACGAAGATGAGATTCTGTGGTATGATTAGATTGTCTCCTGAAACTCACAGAGTTAATGGAATCAGTTAATCAGATACCTGAACTAACAGTGTATATTCTTTTATATACTTTCCATAATCTTTAGACATAAATCCTTTATCTTGTGTCTCTTGTTTCTTTTACTTCACTTGACATCTCATGGCTCTTTAAATCTGTGCTGCTCATTACATTTCCCTTGGACAGGAAAGTTCCAAAGGGCAGCTGACTATACATATATATTTACATCTTAAAATGATGGAAGTATGTCAATAAGATGAACATAGACTGTCAGTTCAGTCTTCCAGGAAGCAGGTGTTAAGATGGAATTAGGAGTGCCGATAGGTTTGTTGGAGAATAATACCTCTGAAAGGAACGGGGGGGGGGGGGGGGGGGTTTGGGTAGGGGGAAGCCGTCAGAAGGTGCCAGAGATCGATGGACTCTCCCAGCTTATGCTGGAACTCCTAAGCAAAGGCTGCCTGTTAGAGGAGTCTCGTGTGGGTGGCAGTGTCTAAGCCTTTCATGTCTTGCTCAGTCAGCGGTTGGGGCTGCCCCAAGAAAAGCCTCGAAAGGCTCTTGAAAGGCTGAGGTGGACCTGGAAGAATTAATAGCTGGTAGCCAGAAGATAATCACACTCTTTGCAGCTAGCAATGAATTCTTTCTTGAAGGGGTTCTGAGCAGTGCACCTCATGAGTCTTTTTTTTTTTTTTTTCCAATCCTGAAATGTTAGAACTGGTAGAAAACTTTTAGAATTTTGAAGAACATACTTTGAAACCTATTTAGCCAATAATGAATTTATAGAAATTATCTGGTACTGCTTAAAAATAGAAAAACACTGGATCTGAGAATAGAGTTAAATTTTTGGTCATAAATTTATAATATGTTAAAGTAAATAACATGGATTTTTGAATGTTGTGTTATAGTGGTCAGTGTAGGTATATATAAAAGAGGCAGAATTCTTGAGTTGGATTGCCCTTGTGCTTGACCCAGCATCTCAGTTCTCCTGTTTCTTAGAGGAAATGCAAACAACAGTAGTGCTTTATAATTCAAACAGTTCCCTCTTATAGCTACTCAGTGAAGGTCAATGGGCAGTTTTTTCAATTCAAGTATCAACATAAATGTACTACTCTGAAATGACTTTTTTTTTTTGAAATGACATATTTCTAATTCATACATGAGCAGACTGTAAAGGATTTGGCTTGAGAATTTATATGTCCATGGTAGGCTTAATTTGGTAAAATGCAGTGTTCCAGATTTTTAAAAAAATGTATTACTGAAAGTATAATTATCTTATTTATCATCTATTCTACATTTGCATTATATTAACAAGTTTGTTATTGACCTCAACAATACCTGGAGACCATGTATGTTTTACAAATGAGAATTCTTTTAAGACTTGCTGTTAAGAGTCTAAATAATTTAAAGTGCAAATTAAGCATTCTGTTTTAGATATAGTAGGTGTGTGTTGCCTTTCATATTTATGTAATATTTTATGGATCCAGTCATTATTACACGCAGCCTATAAAGACATTTCTTCATATGGCCACCAGAGAGCATTAGTAGAAAGGGTAAGAAGACGGAACTGTTTCAAAAATAACTGGGTTAGATTTTAAAACTCATTTCCTCTGTCTTTACTTTCTATTATTTTTATATGAATATTTATGTTACTTTTCTTTCGGGTGTTTAAGGATGAGAAGTACTACCTACGGTCGCTTGGGGAAGACCCTAGAAAGGTAAGAATTCTGAATGTAAAATAAAGGCTTAAAACCTAATGGATGCGTATATTTAAACTGGCACTGTGGTTTTTATACTTATTGCCTGACATATGACCTTTTTCTTCTTTTTCTCATTCTTTTCTCAATGATTTCTGCCCCTGAATAAGAAGTAAAGTTATTAGCGGGTTCCTGAGTAGCTCAGTCAGCTGAGTGCCCAACTCTTGATTTTCACTCAAGGTTATGATCTCAGGGTCCTGGGATCAAGCCCTGAGTCAGGCTCTGCACTCTGCAGTGAGTCTGCTTGAGGATTTTCCCTCTCTCTCTCTGCCCTTCCTCTGCCCCTCCCCTGCTCGCTCTCTCTCTAAAATAAATAAGTGAATCTTTAAAAGAAAAAAAGAAGTAAAATTATTAAAAGTTGATTATTTGTTAAGTAGGACCATAGTATCTTAGTGTTTAAAGTCATCTCCTCTAGTCTCAACACAATTAAAAAATCCTTTCTACTATATTTTACAGATAGCCATTCAGCTAATAAAATATAACCTAAATTAATTATTAAAATACGGAATAATTTACTAATACAAGCTTTGACATGTATTCAGAGTCATATTAATATGGTGCAATGTTAGGGAATGGTCCCTAAAATGATTAAGTAAGATTCTGTTTTTTCCTTTTTCTGTCTCCATTTAGTTCTTTAACTTCTTTCAGCCTCTTCCCTCGGTAAAACCCACAGGTTTAACATAGTTGATAACGTTCAGATTGTTGACTGCTAAATTTTAAATCCTTGTTATTGGACAAGTGTATGATTGTTGTCTAAATAGGAAGAACCTATTAATGAAGCATGTTAAGCTTAACGATCCTAATGGCATTGAGTCTGCAGCCTGCCACATAGTCTGTTATTCCTTCATTTGAAAGCTCATGTGTTGACTGTGGTCCCTTACTAGTGTTTTACAGCAGTGAACAGAGTTTTACCCCATTCCTCCTTAATACCATGGAATCTGATGGCAGTCTGAGATAAAACAAACATTACATAAATATTGAATTTATTATTAACATTGAAATTGCAATTATTGTTAAAATTCTTACCATGTTTCTCTCAATGCAGGATGTTGCAGATATCAGAAAGCAGTTTCCTTTGCTGGAAGGAGATATTAAGTTTCCAAAATTTTTCAAGGAGGAGCAGTTCTTCTCCAGTGTTTTTCGAATTAGCTCACCAGGATTACAACTTTGGACCCACTATGATGTATGCTACATAAATGAGAAATCTGAAGCTACAGTAGATATTTAGTCTTTAGAGACATAGCATTTACAGTTTCAACTTTCTGTAGATTACCCTAAAGATCTTGCAGACATAATTTGCTGAAACATGAGATTTGAAAACGGGCTCTGCAAGTTGGTGATATGGGAATAAATTATTTAATGCCGTAGCCTAGTTAGTGTCTCACATTTGCATTGCTCTGTGATAGTGTTCTCGATTTATTATATTGTGTGTGTGTGTGTGTGTGTGTGTGTGTGTTTTATGAAGCGGATTTTGAGTATGTGAAAAATGGCCATCAGATGAGGGGGAAAGTTGTACAAGTGGAAAAAGCAGTAAGGTTGTGACAATGAGGATGTGGAAATGATATACATAACTAGATGGAACTGTTATTCAAGAGAAAGCACAAGTTTGTGGAGAGCCATTTCCAGGTATAAGAATTCGGGGATTTCTGATGGCCTTAGATTATACATCCCTTGAGAATGTGAAATGTACACTGTATTTGTTGAGCAGGAAGATGTATAGAATATTGCCCCTGATCATTTACTCTATGGTATTATAATTTTACTTGCTTAAATATATGCATATAAATATTATAAACACATTAAAAGTATAATATTGTGTATGGTTTGGTATTGGGTAGAGAAATATAGGAAGCTAAAGCAATACCTAATAGGTTTCTAAAGATAATTTTTAAAAAAAACTCTAAATCAAGCTATATTAAGTTTTATGTTATAATTCAGCAGAGGACCCCTTGGGAGGATTTTAACATAACTAATTAAATGAGATAAACATAAATTCTTAGCTTATTTTTTAAAGGTTTTACATAAATGATAGAGTGAAAAAATGATGTGGTAACTTAAATAAATTTTTAATTGTATTGTGTGACTTAAATTTTAACTAGTATCACTTTTATCTAGATTTATAATAGAATTCTATACAGCTTTTCTTACATTAAAAATAAGTCAAAGGAATGCTTGTTATGTAGTTAAGGTTTACATAAGAAAAGGGTTAGTAATGAAAATTGCTTAGGTAGAAGTGATATGTAAATAATTATGAATATATCTTGCTTAGTATGTATTTTAATTCCTTGGCTGAGAATTACATATCTCTGCCTTTTAACATTTTCCACAAAGTGCAGAAATAGTTAAGATTACTCCATTAATAAGTACATCAAGAAAATTTGCCAGGTTATAATCCTATAGAAATAATTTAGAAATGAAGATGCCGGCAAATAAATTATGGTTGCCCATATATATTTAAAGAGTTTTAACTTAATTAAGGGTTGATTACAGCAGTTAACCTTGTGTTGTTTTCCCAAGGTCTAACTACCTTGGGAAAAGGTAGTTATTTCCCAAGTGCTTTCAGTCTGTTGCCTGATATTGGCTATCTAGCATTCCTTGATAGATAAGTATGAACTAACCAAGGAGAGCCCTCTGTGTCAGAGTGGTGGGGCAGAGGCAAATAGTGCTCAGATTTCCTGATGGCTTGCCAGGCTTTTCCATTTTAAGGCGGTGCTGCAGGAACATCCTTAATGAAGGTACAGCTGTATTTACAGTACAAATGTTTGTATTGTTAGAATATTAGTATAAGTGTTTTAGATAATGTGAGTCAAGTCTCTAGGATTTACATTTAACTGTTTGGAATATACCATTGGTTCTGTTTATTTAAATTTTAGATATTGCTTCTCCGTAAGTTCTTATTGTCCTTCAGGTCATGGATAACTTCTTAATACAAGTGACAGGAAAAAAGCGTGTTGTGCTCTTCAGTCCTCGAGATGCCCAGTATTTATATTTATCAGGTACTTTTCTTTTAGGTTTGTATTTCTGAAGTCTAGTCTGTTCAGTTACACTTTTTGGGAAACCTCTTTATTTTCATAGAAAAACATCTAAAGGCTTCTTTCTAAATGAAGTATTTGTGTTCTCCATGTGTACATATGTAATGATAGGCTATATGAACAATGAAATTTTCAGGTTTTCTTAATTATAGTACATGAATGTCAGTAGTCATAAAGGATGGATCATTGAAAATCATCTTAGGTTTCAGGAGAATAGTAACGGTTCTTACATTGTGGATACAATAAATAATGGTACAGAGAAGAATACATTTTCAAGTCTATATTTGTGGTTACCTTTTAAGACATGCTAACTTTGCTTACTCTGTATTACTCTTTTTTGGAACTTTTAAGGTACTAAATCAGAAGTGCTGGATATAGATAACCCAGACTTAACTAAATATCCACTGTTTTCCAAGGCTAGAAGGTATGAATGTTCCCTGAAAGCTGGAGATGTATTATTCATTCCTGGTAAGATTTCTAGACCTCATTCATTTCCTTTTTATAAAATCTATGCTCTGTCACTCATCCATTACATGATTTTTTGAGTACAGAAGTGTATGTTACATGTTTTCTGTCCTATACAAGTTGATTTTTATATATAGCTGTGTATGTGTGTTTAAAGTATGCTTGAGCAAATTCTTTTTTTTTTTTTAAGATTTTATTTATTTATTTGACAGAGATCACAAGCAGGCAGAGAGGCAGGCGGGGGCTGGGGAAAGTAGGCTCCCCACCGAGCAGAGAGCCCAATGCTGGGCTCTATCCCAGGACCTGAGATCATGACCTGAGCCGAAGGCAGAGGCTTAACCCACTGAGCCACCCAGGTGCCCTGCTTAAGCAAATTCTTATAAAATTAACAATCTTGATTTTCAAAAGCAATCTATAATATAACATTATACTCTTAAGTTATATTGTTAAATGACATCAAACAAGGTATTTTATAACTGGGAAAAGATTATACCTTGTTGTTCTTTTTAATCATTTCTAAAATATTTGCATATTGGGATGCCTGGGTGGCACAGTGGGCTAAGCGTCCGACTCTTGTTTGGCTCAGGTCCTGCCTGATCTCAGGGTTGTGAGATTAAGCCTCACATTGGGCTCTGCACTCAGCACAGAGTCTGCTTAAGACTTTCCCCTCCCTCTCTCTGTCTCTCTAAAATAAATAAGTAAATCTTAAAAAAAAAATTGCATATTTTAGAACTAAGTCACTTAAGTATTTGCCAAGAAATGGTAAGTGTATTTCAAAGCCAAAACAGATTAGAGATTTTATTAAATATCAAATTGTTATAATCCCAACACCTATGATGTCTTATGTGTGCATTATTTTCTAGGGTTTGAATTAGTATCACTTAATTTCTTTGTACAATAACTAGGTATTCGTTTTTATTAGTGATGTAATGAACATCTATAATTATTCAAAAGTGAATACCTTACGATTATAAAAACCATAATTAAGATTAAAGGAATGTGTTAACAAATTGTTTGTATATTCACATTTCTCATATTTAAGTTAATACATTTTTAATCATTAATACCTCACCTGGGTGGCTCAGATGGAATAAGCATCTGCCCTCGGCTCAGGTCATGCTCTTAAAGAGTCCTGGAATAGAGCCCCATACCTGGCTTCTAGCTCAGCGGGGAGTCTGCCTCTCCTCCCTCTGCCTCTCCCCCTTGTCTGTGCTCTCTCTTTCAAATGAATAAATAAAATTTAGGGGGAAAAATGCCTCTTTTTCAGTGACAGAATTAAGAAAAAAAGTATTAATAAAAATATGATGATCCCATTTGGGGCTATATTATAAATTGCTTGAGGATAAGGAACTATATTTTAGCAATCTTTGTATTCTCCAAGGGGCCTGATACAATGTCTTTAACATAATTGTCTATAAAAATTTGATACATTAATTTCTTACTCTGATTTTTTTATAAACAGTCAACACACTAGTCTTTAAATCCATTAGTATTGCCTAAATTTTTTGGTTTCATATTTTCAGAGAATGGTTAAGAGCTTTGCAGTTTCTCTTACTCTGTATAAAACTTAAAAAAAAAGCCAGAAATACTTAACATTTGCATATATTTTGAAATAAAAGCAAAACCCCCATCTTTGCATTTAAATTTAACAGAATGGTTAGCTTTTTTTCATGTTGTATTGAATGAGGAGAAAGATTCTGAAAAAAAGAATAGTTAAGATTAAATCCATGTTTGAAACTAGTTTTGCAAATCAAAATATTTTAAGCTTTTGTTTTTCCTAGAGCACTCTTAGAATGAGTTTGTTTCTAAAATTTAGCATCTTGTAAATCTTACTTTTTCCCATTCATAAAATTAAACATTTTTTGATGTGACTAATATTTTTTTTTAAGATTTTATTTATTTATTTGAGAGAGAGTACTGAGGCTTGAGGGCAGAGGGAGAGTGAGAAGCAGACTCCCCACTGAGCAGGGAGTCCCACTCAGGGCTCCATCCCAGGACCCTGAGATTATGACTAGAGCAGAAGGCAGACCAGATGCTTAACGGACTGAGCCACCTAGGTGCCCCATTTACATTCCTAGTATTTCGTCTTGGTTATATTGTGATGTTGCTTTCATATTCCTATAGCACCTATAGTCTGAAAACATTTAGACTCAATTGAAAACAAAGAAATAAACGTTCTAGAGGAAGTGAAGAATTAATTAGCTATATCATATGATAGTTTATTCATCTTCTCCACCACCAAAATATTTGCTTTAGTTTTATATACTTACTATACAGGAGCCGAAAGAAATATGACATTTATAATTGCATTCCAAATAGAAGTATAAAACTAAGGAGGCTACAATGAGTGCAAAATTAAGCAAGTTAGAAAACCAAATGCAAGGGCGCCTGGGTGGCTCAGTGGGTTAAGCCTCTACCTTCAGCTCAGGTCATGATCTCAGGGTCCTGGGATGAGCCCCGCATCAGGCTCTCTGCACAGCAGGGAGCCTGCTTCCCCCTCTCTCTCTGCCTGCTTCTCTGCCTACTTGTGATCTCTCTCTTTCTCTGTTGAATAAATCAGTAAAATCTTAAAAAAAAAAAAAGAAAAGAAAACCAAATGCAGCTTGAATGGGACATCTGAGAACAAAAGTATTGTGCTGAGGCAGAAAAGGTCAAAGATACTCCTCAAATAATTGAAATGTTCTGTGTACAAAAAGTAAACATTTTTAATGTGGTTGTATGACTCAGGAAGTGTAAACAAGTAACACAAAACATAGCCCCAAATTACAGAACTACAAAACAAATATAACTTCATTATGTCTTTCAAGTTAAAAGGAAAAATTGCTGTTTCCAAAGGTTTTAAAAGTAGGGTTGTGTTATTGACACTTTAAATTGGTTGGCAATTCATAAAAGTTAAAATGATTCTGTTAAAAGCTGGGAGTGTGCTAACGAAGGGATCTAGTTACAAGAATTTTGCATTGGCTATATGCAATTTGTGATATTTCGCTGACATTTTGGGTTTGTTTTTTTTTTTTTTACTCTAGGTTTTATTTTTAACTTTTTTTTTTTCTTTAAACTTTCTCCAGCTTTATGGTTCCATAACGTGATTTCTGAAGAGTTTGGAGTGGGAGTGAATATCTTTTGGAAGCACCTTCCATCTGAATGCTATGACAAAACAGATACCTATGGAAACAAAGATCCTACAGCAGCATCAAGAGCTGCACAAATTTTGGACAGAGCTTTAAAAACACTGGCTGGATTACCAGAGGAATACAGGGACTTCTATGCACGGCGAATGGTCTTACACATTCAAGATAAAGCCTATAGCCGAAACTTTGAGTAAATAATGAAGTGGATGCCATGAATACAAACTTGTAAATACAGTTCAGCTCAAATACTGGAAAAATATCACCACATATAAATTATTTTTTTAGAAGATTCATTCCTTGTTAAAATAGGAAGGAAAAGCCCGAGATTTGTAGATTAAATAAATATGAATTGGTGTTTATGTGGCTTCTATTTAATACAGATTGTTATGGTTCAGACTGCTATCCTTGCTGGGACCACTCGAGCTTTCAGATGCAAATAACTGAAAATCCAACTGAAAATGACTTAATGAAACGTACTGAATCGTTACGCAGAAGTCTACTAACAGAACGGCGCTGTAGTAGTTCTGCCCCAGTGATTGAGTGCGATCACCAAGAGCCCGGGTTTCCTCCCTTTTTCAACCGCAGCCCTGGCACCATCCTAAGGCTGGCTACCCTTGTCATGGGATGATGGCCAGTAGCAGTTTGAGCCACGCGCATCTCCATTTACATGCAGTGGGGGAGTCAGCCGGATTCCAAGGGCCTTCTCTTAATATGCAAAAGCTTTCCCGGGATTTGCCACCAGATCCTTGGGTCTCATTGATTTAAAGGAGCTTAGACCTCTCCATCCCTGAGTCAGTCACTGGGAAAGGGTATGGAATAACCCTTAGTCCAGCTGGTTCTCTAGTTCAGAACGCTCTTCCTCTGAGGCACATGAGGTATATATGGGGACAGCATGGATCATTTTTTAAATCAGGATTCAGATTAGGGAAAAAGGTGAGCAGCCGTTATCTACTACATTTGTCTTGTAAATTTTTTATTTTTTTAAAGATTTTATTTGATGGAGAGAGAGAAAGTACAAGCAGGGGGAACAGCGGGGAGAGGGAGAAGCAGGCTCCCTGCTGAGCAGAGAGCCTGGCCTATGTCTCCATCCCAGGACCCTGGGATCAGACATCTGTATGACTGACTGAACCTACCCAGGCACCCCCTTTTGAGCTTTTTAAAAACACAGATGTCTAGGCCCCAACTTTGTAGATTTTGATTTAGTATATTTGGGGTTTGGTATAGTATTTGTATTTGGTAAACCTCATAGGTCTTGATGTATAATCAGGATTAGAACGATTGGATCAGATGATAGTGATTTGGATTATTAGTTTTGTGATTCATCCAAAACATGTTTAATCTGATCCTGGTTTTTCTTGGCACTCAATGTCAGGCCTGCCTCTTTTTTCAGTTTTTCAATGTCAGAAAATACTCAAATCTGTCTTAATTTTAATTTATACCTATAGCTAAACTTCAACCCAGTTAGTTTTCCCCACTAGATGCTTTTCCACCTATCCCTTTTTTAGAGAAATTATTTTTTTAAGAAGAAATACAGGAGAGATCCCAGTAATGTTGTCATCGTTGAAGACAATGAGCCATTGTATGTGTTTCTGTGCCATTCTTTGTTTTGCACCTAGTAATCTATTACAATGTCATTGAAGAAAGACTAGAAATATTTACTGAATGCAAATGTGCTCATCTAAAGTAATCTGAGTGCATCAAGTTGGTGCATTTTAATTATGAAGAAAATAATTTTCTCTGTTAAAATAATTCACCCATTCATATCCTATGTTTGGAGTTGGATTAATTTCAGGTATTAAAAACAATATAATAAATAAGAGAGGAAAAATACATAAAAAGTTATTTTGAACTTCCTAGTTGTCTTTAGGAAGAGAGATTAAAGTTACTCAGGTCAAAAAGTGAAAAGACGGTCTGTTAGAAAAGGAATTGTTACATTCAATTTAATTATTAGTTGGGTTTTTTTTTTTCATTTTTGGTTACTTCTTAGATTAAGTAAAGAAATTCTTTAATGATTCTTTTTCCTTTGGGAAGAAAAAAAAAGATAAAACCTCTGTTAGCTTGAACAGTACTTACAGTCAGCTTTTAAATAAACCCTCCTTGGTTTTCTTTTTTTAAAAACCAGTAAGAGAATCAGTACAAAGTATATATCCAGAGTCATGTAGAAACTTGGAAGTAAAACTGAGATAATCTTCCATGAATATTCATTTTAATTCAGTTTATTTGGGAAGCAAACTGGAAGACCTTAGGTGAGTTAAATAACTTAATCTTTATGAAGCTTATTTTCCTCATCTTTAAACTTGTACTTTTTGGGGTTGCTGCAAAAATATAAAGAGGTAATTCAGGGCAAGGACAGTTGATGGCTGATGCTAGCTTTCAGACGAGATGGCTCTTGTTGCAGTATTAAATTATATCTAGAACACTAATAGCGAACACTTTGGGAAGCCTTAAAATTATTTCCTTGATCATAATCTGTAGAGTGTTTAAATGCAAAATACTTTTATCTTTTTTGATGACCCGATTGAGACAAAATGAGATGTTTTTAATGTATGAAATATTAAACAGGATATGTTAGCTGCAACTTCTTAGGAATTCCAAATCTTAGAACTTCATTGCTGAAAGGGATCTTAGAAATCATTTTATCAATCTAGATGGCTTAAGTGATTGTGCAGGTTTACACAGCTGGATGACAGAACTGGAATTAACAGTTGTGACCAGATCAGTCATTCTCCACGCTTTCTCCCTTAGGTGCAGTTCATCTCTCTGTTGTTCTTTGGCTACGGTTTGGGGGCTTGACCTGATTTCCAAAGGAATTCTTTTCCTCTGCCAGCAAAGCAACTCACTGCTCCACATAGACAAAAGATACAAAGTAAGACAAAGGGATACAAAATAAGATTAATGAGCTAGCAGACAGCAAAGGGTAATATAAAAATGGAATACTATGCAAAGAATGAGACAGGTATTGTAGTATTGGCAAGAAATTTTTCCAAGGTAATTAAATGAGAAAAAGGTTGGAAACTGCGTATAGCATCCTGCCATTTGTGTAAAACAAAGGTATTCTGTAAGTAAACATTTGTATACGTATACGTTTATGTATACGTTTACGTATACGTTTACGAGAAACCAATGATAATGATCACCTCTGAGAAGTCAGACAAGTTAGGTGGGCAGACTAGAATCTGCAGCTGTGTATTATTTGACCTTTTTTGGGGGTCCCTCTATGTATCATTCTTTCAAGGTAACTTTAAAATACATGTGTAGACTATAAAAGTTCTTCATGAACATTAAGTGTCTTGGCATATAATTACACTGAAATTCTATTTATTCTGTAATTAGTTTAAAATTTCTCACTCATAAAGTATTTTTAAAAAGGGAAATAAAGTCAACAAGGCTTATTTTGTATCTTTCCATCCTTTTGAACAGCAGCTATGTGAACATTTGGAAAGAACCTTAGTAGGGAGTCTTTTCTCTCACCTATCTAAAGTTGCCAACAGACATCTAAGAAGTTGACAAAAAAAAAAAGGAACCCGCAGAAAGCTGGAATGCAGGTCTGGATGGAGTTGGAACTGTGCTGCTGTGACTCCTTCCTCCAGTGCTAAAATGCAGTGAGGAGGAACTAATGTAGATTGCCAGTCACCCACATATCCCTCATACCACCTTAAAGTCTTATTTCAAGCATGTAGTCCATGACTATTTGGGTGTTTTAAATACACCTAAGTTGTATTCTTTTTTTTTTTTTTAAATTCCATTAAATGGGATACTAAAATGACCATCCTTAAGTGACCGCACATCTCTACCACTAAGAGCTGCTGGGTCTCTGCCTTTGTAAAGACCAACCTGAATTTACAGATAAGGTCTATTTATCTATATATATCTTATCCTCTAAAACATGTTTCTCTTAAAAGCCTTTAATGAAGTCTAACAGAATAGTTCTTTTAAGAATACTATCTTTTGTTTCATATTTTCACTTTTAAGCCTTAGTCTATTACACATTTCTAAACTCAAATGCTTGGGACTGTTTTGTCTGTGTCTAGATCTTTCTTACCTTTGGTAGGTGCTTAGATATTAGATGAATGAAATGAAAAACAGACCACACCATATTCTAACTAAGTCTCTTAATGACAGCAAAAGGAATACAGATACCTGAAAGGATTAGCACATAAAAGGAAAAAACTTATTTTTGAGCAATTTTTTTTTCTCCCAAGAAATTTAAAAGAAGAAATGGAAATAAAGTGAATTTTTGTGGGACAATTTAAAGGTGAGAAGAAATGTATTTTTGCAAGGAAAGGTTCAAAGTTGCTCATATGAAAAAACATGGAGGGTTAATGAAAACATACACAAACCTAAACTGGCAAAGTGGAAAGAAATAGCTTCCTTCCAAGTAACAATCTGAAGTTTTAACAAATCTGGTAACATAAAGCACATCCAAACAGACTTCTCCGGATTAAATTTAATACAATTGTACATTCATGCTGTGGCGGTAACAACTTTCACATTATCTGTAGGACTTCTCAGTTGACTCTCTTGACACAAACACAAAGGCACAGTCCAGAAGGATACACTAACATTTACAATAGTTTTAAACAAATGTAGAGAAGACAAATTTGAAGTCTTAAACTATTTGAAGATGGATCAACTGGAATATATTTTCATTCAAGAAAAGACTTCTACTTTCAACACTCTCACTTTGCCGCAGTGGCGGTTCCAGGTGTCCAGTGAGTTATTCTTCATATCCATTGGACAGACAAATGTAAGCAGTCACATGACAAGATAGCTAAAGAACGCAGATTTTTAAATACCTCAGATTTTTTCAGTGAACTCTTCTGCAAAAAGTCCTACTTCTTCCATTTTAGTTAACCCTATAAAAATAAGTGCCTTTCCTGCCCTCCCCCCATTAGTGCATTCGCTACCTTAGCTATTTAACATTAGATTCACATGAATTTAACCAAGGATTATTAAATACTGAAAGAAGCCATCCAGGCATGGTACTTTAGGTTTAGGTAATAAAATGCTAGCATCAGGATTTGTCTCCTTGTTGGTAATTTTTGGTCTCAAAAGAAACAGGTATTTAAAGAAACTGAAGCAATATAAACTAACTTGTCCTTAAAAAAATTGAGATACTATTCTGTACTTTATAGAATTAAGGGTTGTTATTTTTAAGCATTTGGTGAGTAAGAATTCTTATAAGTCTGAATATTTGGAATGTATTATAGAGTCATTAAAATATAATTCTGGGAAGAAACCAAGAGATTAACATTTTAATTCTATATTTTATAAATTTAGGTCCTCTGGGTTATTAAGATATTAAGCTTCAGTGTCTTTTTTTTTTTTTTCAGTCTGAAAGCAGCAATGTTACTTCCCTGCTTAATTATTTCATGACCTGAAAAGCTAATTATTATTAATATAGTGTTTACCTTTTATTGTAATCACACAG